GGGGTGGGGTCGTGCTGGGGTGGGGTCCTGCTGGGGTGTGGTCGTGCTGGGGTGTGGTCGTGCTGGGGTGGGGTCGTGCTTGGGTGGGGTCGTGCTGGGGTGTGGTCGTTCTGGGGTGTGGTCGTGCTGGGGTGTGGTCGTGCTAGGGCGGGGTCGTGCTGGGGTGGGGTCGTGCTGGGGTGTGGTCGTGCTGGGGTGTGGTCGTGCTGGGGTGCGGTCGTGCTGGGGCGTGGTCGTGCTGGGGTGGGGTCGTGCTGGGGAGTGGTCGTGCTGTGGTGAGGTCGTGCTGGGGTGTGGTCGTGCTGGGGTGTGGTCTTGCTGGGGTGGGGCCGTAGCGTTTCGCTCGAGACATCCTCAAATTTTAATTCGCCGGCCTCAACAACAAGCGTTTCGCTCGAGACATCCTCAAATTTTAATTCGCCGGCGCTCAAAAACAAGCGTTTCGCTCGAGACATCCTCAAATTTTAATTCTCGGGCTCGTTATTTATCAGGGAAAAATTCGCCGGCCTCCTTCGACCTCGTTATTTATCAGGGAAAAAATTCGCCGGCCTCCTTCAAGCAGGCACCGGGGGACTTGTTTACAAACTAAAAGAGAACCCTGGGCTTAAGCCCTTTCCGGGAAAAATTCGCCGGCCTCCCTCAAGCAGGCACCGGGGGATTAGGTTTACCAACTAAAAGAGAACCCTGGGCCCCCGCCCTTTCCGGGAAAAAGGGACGTCAAGGGGGTGCATCAAGGGGCATCAAGGGGGGCGGTTGCGCGTGGTTAAAGCGCGCAGAGAGGTTGCACCCCTTCACGCCCGTTTCTGTGTGCCTGCAGATCCTGGGGCCCTTCACAAGTTTTCGCAGGGTTTGGGGCCCCGAGATCTTCACGCACCGATCCGGTTCGAAAAGGGACGCAGACAGATGGGGTCTAGGGCTATGGTCGCGATTCTCTGCGATTTGTTTCGCAGCGTCGGATTGTCTCGGCAGGCCTTCCAGGCCCCAGGACCGTGAAACAATTATTGGGGAGCGCCGGTGCCAGGTGAGGTGTCGGGACCTCTGGGGGTCCGCGTTTCGGAGGTTGTGATGGCTTTGCCCAGGGGGACCCCAGCACGTCACTCCCTTTTGGACCCTCTGGTTCCCCCTGGACCTCGTGATGGATGTTCTGGTTGCCATCGGAGTCTCCATGCAGACAGAAGCTGGGGCCACCTCGGGCAGGCTAGGGCCGCCGATGACAGCACACTAGCGCCGCGAACAAGATCGCGACGTTGCACCTCTGGGCAGATGTCGTACCGCTCTCGCGCCCCGCCCTTCGAGTGATCGGCGGGCTCCAGCATTCCCGCGGGTGCGCACGGGGCAGGCCCTCCCCGGAGATCCGACGTAGCGAGAAAGATGCAACACCGTGAAATTCACGGCCAGATTCCCGGACCCCATGGGGGCGCTTTCGTCATCACGGCTGGATCCGAGCGGAAAGGGGGGCCTCGAAATCCGAGGTCGCGGAAAAGATGAAGCATCGCGACAAGTCACGACCAGAGCCCGGGGCACCATCTTTCTGCCCCTCTTTTCAAGCAGGGTCGATCTGTGAGGGTCTTGGAGCCCGAAGAGTGGCGCAAACGCCTGGCTCGAAGCAGTCGAGACGTCAGGATCTCCAGGTCGATCGAGCTTTGCGCTCTGCGCTCGACGCCCCGCGGCCAGAAGGCCCCCCTAGATAGGTCCAGGGCTCGACGTTTGATCCCGAAAGAGAAATCGCACCGACAAGAGTGGGCCCTGGAGGAAAGGGTCCTTGTGTGTCTGTCCTTTCTGGGGATCCCCCAGCCCTCCCCAGGCCGCGGGTCCATCACATTGCTCAGGCCAGCGATAATTTTACCCCGGGAAAAAGCCCCGGAGTCTGCAAAGGAAAGGCAAGTTTCTTTTGGATAAGAGACTTTCGCCGTCGCCGCCGACGTCGATGTCGTCTTCTCCGGGACGCACCGCTGAGCTGGAGTGGCGCGGAACGATTGTGTTGTGTTTCTGTTGCTGGCCGCCCGTCCTCCCTCGCTCCTGCCCCTGTGGCAAGTTAGCTTTTTGGCATCCCCACCTGGTTTCCCCTGCATGTGCGAGCGCCGAGTCCGCGATTGTGAGTGTTTTTCCCCAAACAGCTTGCTGAACGGGGTGCTGTTGTGATAGAAGCTAATTCCGGCCGAGGGAAAGCTAAGCAGAGACATCCTCAAACAAATGTGGTGGTCCGGCCCGTTTCGCCTGAGACATCCTCACAACTCTCGTTTCTGAGTTGTCCGGGATTGAGCGTTTCGCCTGAGACATCCTCCTAAATCTGAGCTCTGAGAGGCCGCGCGAGAGGTGGTCCGGGCCGTTTCGCTTGAGACATCCTCGAAACTCTGAGCTCCCAGATGCCGCGCGAGAGGTGGACCGGGCCGTTTCGCCTGAGACATCCTCGCAACTCTGAGCTCCAAGATGCCGCGCGCGAGGTGGTCCGGCCCGTTTCGCCTGAGACATCCTCGAAACTCTGATCTCCCCGATGCCGCGCGCGAGGTGGTCCGGCCCGTTTCGCCTGAGACATCCTCGAACTTCTGAGCTCTGAGATGCCCAGCGCGAGGTGGTCCGGCCCGTCTCGCCTGAGAAATCCTTGCAACTCTGAGATCTGAGATGCCGTGCGCAAGGTGGTCCGGCCTGTTTCTCACAAGATATTCTCGCAACTCTGAGCTCTCAGATGCTGCGCAAGAGGTGGTCCAGCCTGGGGGCCCAGAAGGCCACATGTTACATATCCTCCATGGGACCCTGCGAGCCTCAGGAGGCCCCAGAGAGGTCCAGGAGGCCGCAGGACGCCCAGGACAGGCCCCAGGGGCCCCCAGGAGATTCCCAGGAGGCCCCAGGAGGCCCTCTATCAGAACGTGTCAAGTTAATACACATCCGGTATCGATTCGTTGATTTTTCCTGCTCTTGTGCCCCCCCTCCATTTGGAGAGGCCCAAGCGGCCACAGGTTAGATATCCCCCCTGGGAGCCCCAAGATGCTTCAGGAAACCTCAGGTGGAGTTCAGGAGGCCACAGGAGGCCCAGGAGGAAGCTCCAGGAGGTCCCCAGGAGGCCCAGGAGGCACCAGGAGGCCGCAGGACGCCCAGGACAGGCCCCAGGGGTCCGCAGGAGATTCCCAGGAGGCTCCCAGGAGGCCCCAGGAGGCCCCTTATCAGAACGTGTCAAGTTAATACACATCCGGCGTCGATTCGTTTATTTTTCCTGCTCTTGTGGCCCCCCTCCATTTTGGAGGGGGCCCGACGGCCACATGTTAGATATCCCCCCCTGGGAGCCCCAAGAGGCTTCAGGAAGCCCCAGGTGGGGTCCAGGAGGCCACAGGAGGCCCAGGAGGAAGCCCAGGAGGTCACCAGGAGGTCCCACGAGGCCCCAGGAGGCCCCCGCAACTCGGAGCTCTGAGACGCCGCGCTCGAGGTGGTCTGGCCCGTTTCGCCTGAGACTTCCTCGCAGCACGTTTCGCCCGAGACCATCAGTCGCAACTCTGGTCCGAGATGCAGCGTCGCGAGGTGGTCCACCCGGTTGACGCTGGAGACCATCCTGGCGACTCTAGCCTCCGAAATGCCCGTTCGTGATGAAGAAGGAGGTGAGGAGGAAGGAAGCGGAGAGAGGAGGAGGAAGGAGGAGGAGAGGAGGAGGAGAAGATGGAAGGGAGAAGGAGGAGGCGGATTATGTGCATGAGGGAGCAGGCAGGAGGAGGGGGAGGCCCCAGAGAGCTCCAGGAGGCCGCAGGACGCCCAGGACAGGCCCCAGGGGTCCCCAGGAGATTCCCAGGAGGCTCCCAGGAGGCCCCAGGAGGCCCTCTATCAGAACGTGTCAAGTTAATACACATCCGGTGTCGATTCGTTGATTTTTCCTGCTCCTGTGGCCCCCCCCTGTATTTGGAGAGGCCCAAACGGCCACAGGTTAGATATCCCCCCTGGGAGCCCCCAGATGCTTCAGGAAACCTCAGGTGGAGTTCAGGAGGCCACAGGAGGCCCGGGAGGAAGCCCCAGGAGGTCCCCAGGAGGCCCCAGGAGGCACCAGGAGGCCCCCGCAACTCGGAGCTCTGAGACGCCGCGCTCGAGGTGGTCCGGCCCGTTTCGCCTGAGACTTCCTCGCACCACGTTTTGCCCGTGACACCGTCGCAACTCTGGGGTCCGAAATGTCGCGCGCGAGGTGGTCCTGCCCGTTACGCTGGAGACATCCTCGCAATTCTGGGCTCCGAGATGCCTTTCGGGATGAAGAGGAGGTGGACGAGGAGGAGGAGGAGGAGGAGGAGGAGGAGGAGGAGGAGGCATGTTTTAACATGCCATGCCAGCCCGCACTAGGCGGGCACGCAATCGACCTTGAAAACCGCAGTGGGTCTAAAAACCCTGTTGGGGGATACTG